TACACAGAGAAACCCTGTCTTGAAAACAAACAAACAAAAAAACCAAAACAAAAAACAAAAAAGAAAGGAAGAAAAAAAGAAAAGATCAATGGTTAAGAGCACTGACTGCTCTTCCAGAGAACCAGTTCAATTTCCAGCACCCACATGGCAGCTCACAGCTGTCCGTAACTCACTCAGTCCCAGGGGATCTGATACCTTCATACTAATGCACATAAAATAAAGTTAAATATTTTTTTTAAAGAAAAAAGGAAGGAAGGAAGGGAGGAATGAAGGAAGGAAGGAAGAAAGGAAGGAAGAAAAGAAAATGAGCTGGGTTTGCTCAGGGTGTTTACCTGGGAGACAGTGAGCCCCTTGGAAAGATGTATAAAGTTATAAGATGGGAACAGTTCCAAGCTTTTGTTCTGTTTGCTGTATATCCCAGGCTGGCCTCAAACTAGGAGCAATGAGGCTCCTGGGTGCGGGGATTACATGAACCACCATGCCTGGCTTGTCATATACTTTTTTTTTTTAAGTAGCATAAATATTTATGTGCAGTGTTGAAAATCTACAACTTCTTGTTAAATTCACATTTGCACTTCACCTTTTTAAACAAACATTTCTAATCATTTTTTTTTTTTTTTTTAAGATTTATTTATTTATTATGTATACAGCATGTATGACTGCAGGCCAGAAGAGGGCACCAGATCTCATTACAGATGGTTGTGAGCCACCATGTGGTCGCTGGGAATTGAACTCAGGACCTTTGGAAGAACAGTCAGTGCTCTTAACCTCCGAGCCATCTCTCCAGCCCCTCTAATCATTTTTTTTTAAGATTTATTTATTATGTATACAGTGTTCTGCCTGCATGCCAGAAGAGGGCGCCAGATCTCATTACAGATGGTTGGGAGTCATCATGTGGTTGCTGGGAATTGAACTCAAGAACAGCCAGTGCTCTTAACTGCTGAGCCATCTCTCCAGCCCCTCTAATCATTATTTTATACAGATATAGATATGTAAATACAACATCGAGTTCAGTGGTCCTTCAGCATTTTCCACTTAAGTGTGTTGTTTTTTTTTTTTTTTTTGTTTTGTTTTTTAACATAAAAACAGGTTATAATTCCAAAGTCCAGAGTTATTTGAAGCTGGAAAATATTTTCTCTATAGAAAATAGTAAAAATGATAACATTTCCCAATAAGCCCTTTGAAGCCAAATAATAGCTGAATTATACATGTAAATATTGATTAGATTCTGGGATAGAGAAGAGACCTATCTTCATCTGTTCAGAGAGCTCTGTTTTACTTAAGCTGTGTGAGATTCCTACTCATCTTCCCCTTCACTGCTTGATATACGGCAAACATTTTTCTATAGACTAATCCATAATCTAAAAAGATTTTAGCCTCCCCTCCTGAAAGTATGTTCAGCATTTCCTTTCATCAGCTTGATACAGTACAAATTCTTATCCTAATAGTGAAATGTTTCACTAAATCTTGCCCAGTTATTGGTCAAAACCAAAACTTATTATAAGCCACAGTCATCCTAGGGTCCCCCCTGCTAGGTAGCCTCCCTGGTTCTGTGGGTTGCAGTCTGATTGTTCTTTGCTTTATATCTAGAATCCACTTATGAGTGAGTACATACCATGTTTGTCCTTCTGAGTCTGGGTTACCTCACTCAGGATGATATTTTCTAGTTCCATCTATTTGCCTGCAAATTTCATGTTTTTCTTGCTGCTGAGTAGTACTCCATTGTGTATATGTACATTTCTTTTTTCTTTTCTTTCTTTTCTTTTTCTTTTTCTGAGACAGGGTTTCTCTGTGTAGTTTTGGTACCTGTCCTGGATCTCCCTCTGTAGACCAAGCTGGCCTCGAACTCACAGAGATCCGCCTGGCTCTGCCTCCGCAGTGCTGGGATTAAAGGCGTGTGCCACCACCACCGGGCCTACCACATTTTCTTAATCCATTCTTCAGTTAATGATTGTCACATACTTTTCTTTTTTTTTTTTGGTTTTTTCGAGACAGGGTTTCTCTGTGTAGCTTTGTGCCTTTCCTGGAGCTCACTTGGTAGCCCAGGCTGGCCTCGAACTCACAAAGATCCGCCTGGCTCTGCCTCCCGAGTGCTGGGCTTAAAGGCGTGCGCCACCACGCCCGGCTTGTCACATACTTTTAAAAGATTTTTTTAATGTGTTTCTTTCTCTGTCTCTCTCTCTCTCTCCCTCTCTGTCTCTCTTACATGTGTGTGCATGCCCATGTATGTGGGCATCAGAAGCACTGGAGCTGGAGTTACAGGTGGCTGTGAGCTGTCCAATGTGGGCCTGGGAATTGAACTCGCGCCCTCTAGAAGAGCAGCAAACACTCTAAACTGCTAAGCATCTCTCCAGCACCCAAGTCTTATACTCTTGAATGAAAGGTCATATCTTTAGGGGCTGAGTGGGTGGAGGTGGAGTGTATGCTAAGTACATACCGTACTGTAGAACTATACCCTCAGTGCTAAATAGATTGGATTTCCAGGACCTGGGATGGATTCAATGGTTATTTAGGAGTTCTTAATGATTGAGGCTCCCTGAAAATTAGACTCCCTCCGTGTATTTTCCTGTAAAGGTTGTCATAGCTCATGGGATGTACCTTCTAGGCCTGGGTGACTTTCAGGAAGGAATGACACAGGGGTGGAGTGTCGCTCAGGAGCAGAGACATCGTCTGTCATGAATGAACACGACAGTGGAACAGGCTTTCCTGGGAGGTGGACTCCTGGACCCACCTCCACTCAGTCAGCAGCTCTGTTGCTGTGATGTAGTGACCAAAGACCACGGGGGCGGAAAGGGTCTGTTCAGCTTACAGATGACAGCCCGTCACCAAGGGAGGCCAGGGAGTAACTCAAGGCAGGAACCTGGAGGTAGGCACGGAGGCAGAGACCGTGGGGAAATGCTGCTCACTGGCGGTTGGCACCCCAGCAGTCCCAATTTAGCACTGAAAACCTGGAAGGTTCTTAGAGAGCCACTGGTCCTTAGTCAACGATGGAAGCCTGAGAACACTGGTTCTGGTGTCAGCGAGGGCAGCTACAGTAGAGGGTGGATTAACTTGGGGACGAGGGAAGACCAAGCAGGGAAAAGGAGACTAACCTCCCTTCTGCGGTGACCCTTTTTTATCTGGATCATTTCTAGAAGGTGCTAACCAAATTTGGGGTGCGTCTTCCTAACATCTATTAAGGCCATTAGAATTCTTCGGCTGAGGCTCCCTACTCGGTAGACCCTAATTTGTGGCAGGTGGACGTTAAAACCAACCATCATAACCTTTCCAAACAACCCAATGTCAACCAATCAACAGAAAGCCCCAGTGAGGCCTGAGCCTACACATACAGCAGCCACCAGTGAGCGGACAGCACCACCTTCTGGCCTGGAGTGGAACCAGTGCCTGTGGAGAGGGCTCAGGGCACAGGTATGCTTTGATCGTGTTCCCCTCCCCTCCGGTGATCGTCTCTACCATGGAGTGGTTGGCATGGGGTGTCTCCAACACTTTCTCCCTGAGTTGGGCCGGAAATGATGTGTCCGTGCTCAGCTGAACTTGGTCAAAGCCACCCCACTTCCCGGCCTTGGGAAGTTAAAGCTAGAGCCCAAGGTAGCAATTGCAGCTTGCTACCGTGGACCTGAGCCCAGAAGTCAGTGTCCCTTTGTGCCAAGCCCTGCGCATGGTGGGGTCCACCATCCCCTCCCCTGCTCAGAACTGAGGTCCAGCTGTATGGTCTAATGGTCCCAGTGTCTCCTCTTCACTGTCACTCGTAGCTTCCATGAAAGGCTCTGCTGCCGAGCAGCCACCCTAGAAACGGACAGCCCACGTTTCCCAGCATGATCCAGAGTTCTCACAGACCTACCACTGGACCTCCTTCTCTAATCACCACTGGTGCCTCCGTAACCCTTTTGCTACTCAGTCCCACCCCATTGCTTTTCTTCTAAGGTTTGGAAGCCAAGCCCTGGCAATCAGGCTCAGCTGCCATGGCCTGTGGTACCAAAGTCCGGTTAACGTCACTCATCAGTACAGGCTGAAGTCTCTCACCTCTCATCTGCAAAATGGAGGAGGCAGCTGACCCTACTTCATTATATTGTGAAGATTAAAGAATCAATGTAAATCCATGTAAAGTGGTACTTGGGTCACAGCGATTATTGAAAACCCTACCGGCAGCCACTACTACAGCTAAGTGGGAAAATAAATGCCACTTCCTGTTTAAGAACAGACCCACATTTAAATAGACTTAAATTAAGCACCACACTGGCCTGTCCTGAGGTCCTGGGCAGGTTTCAAGCAGTTGAGTGAACACAGGCATACCGCTATTGTGACTAGGACCCTTTGGCCAGGCTACTTGACACATGCCCAAGTCTCAGCCACTCTGAAGAATGGAAGCCTGTGATTTGACAGGTGAGCTCATTAGTCCCCTAACACCATGAAACCAACTCCTAGGTGCTACTTCTGAGCTGCTGTATACGATGGTTTCTGGCTTTTCCATCTTATCCTCAGGATTGGTATCAAGTACCATTACCCACAAAGTCATCTCCAGCCTACTTCCCCACTCACCACCTTGGAGGGGGTGGCAGGGTCTCACCCTGTAAGCCATGTAACCCTGCCCCCCTTCTGACAAGTGGGCATGCTTGAGACAGCTTCTACTTGGCTCTAAGCTAGAGGCCAGGGTGGCCTTGAACTTCTTTAACTCATGGTCAAGAGCTAGAACCACAAACATCAAATCACAAATCCTTAAGGGGCAGTTCTCAAAGTATTTTGAGGCAAGGGTAGAAACTATTCCTCATACCCCTTCTAAGTTGGCCCACACCCTCCAAAAACAAGGTTAAAAACACCCCGAACCCCGGAACGGTGCACTAGACTTAAAGAAATGGCTGACATCCAGGGCTCATGTGGCCAGCCGGGGACCTGGAATCATTAAGACGCAGCAGCCAAATCGATAGGAAAAAAGAGGGCAACAGACAAGGCTTGTTTTATTTTAATGACTGATCCACCTGAGGCCACAGGTGCCCACTATGTACAGACAGGAGGGAAGCTTTATTTCTTGGTCTCTTCCTCCTTGGACAGCGTCTTGATGATCTCCTCCTTCTTGGCCTGGAGACGCTCCTCCCGGCGCTTTCGGGCTTCCTTGGTCTTAGACCTGCGAGCCTCAGCCTGGTCACTAGTAGAAGGAAGAAAAACGATGGTCATTTTGGGGACAGGCGAGCAGCTAAGGAGACAGAAGCACACCCCCAGAGCTTCGTCACCCCGAGGAAGGGCAGCTCTGTCTCACTCACCCAGCCCAGTGTAAATGGGCAGGTGGTGTGGCAATGTGCAGGGCAAAGGAGCAGGAACCTCTCATCAAGCAGCACCAGGCCCTTTTTCAGTACTGTTATAATCAAGGCCAGCGCTGCCCCTAGGGGAACTCTAAGACACTTACGCCAGGAGCTTCTTGCGGGCCTTGTCTGCCTTCAGCTTGTGGATGTGTTCCATGAGAATCCGCTTGTTTTTGAAGACATTCCCCTTGACCTTCAGATACAGGCTGTGATAC